CTGTTTCACTCTGCGAAGCCAGAATTTCTGTGTTTGTCGCACAACATCCTGCACGTACGTTTTTATTTCTGAAATTTCTCATCAGTTTCCTGTCGCCACATATTAATCGTGTTTAAGAATTTATCGATTTTTGACTCTTCGAAGCTCCACCACATTCGCACCGCCTACGCTTCGAACGTTGAGTAATGTTGTCATCAATAGTGCTAGTATCACTTAAGTTTAAGTTTGGAGCGGAGCCATACTGTACATCTTGTTTACATGGACTTCTAATCATTTTGTGATCGCAAACAGAAGAAGCTATCCGTGTCAATGCAAAATATTATAAAGGCGACAAACTTAAAGTGATTGCGATTTACTAATAATCTTATGGTATAATTAGTAAATCACTATTGGGCCCTGTACTAGCCACGCCTCCTTTAACTTGCCTCGTACGCAGGTGGGCGTTACTCTAATTAGCCACTCGAATTGCGGGATGCGTAACGACGAGATGCGCCAAATATAATTATCTCACTCACTCTTATGCTGCGTTACTTGAGTGGCCTCCGAGCTTGGTGGGAGAGCCGTAGTCACCTCGCAGTACACGAAGCTTGTCTTGAGTATCCTCGGGAGTTATGTGCGCCTAGTACTCGAATCACTTATTTTTGAATATATTAAATTTAAAAATATTTTTAAAATAATTTTATAAGGTGTAGCCGTAAAACACGTCTAGTCAGCCAGACATCCAAGGGGAGAGAAAAGAAGATACAATTTCTTTCCTTACCTCTACCCTACTAAGTTCTTGATGGGGGTGTTAGGGTATAATTCATTAGAGCTTCGTAGGGATTTTTCGGTGGTCAGGTTTGGTTTGAGTGTAATTAAGAATGAAACGGAAAGCGCATACTTGCTGGGAGAGATCATGAGGCTATACGTTCCGGACAAATATTGCCGCTGCCGGAAACATAACCTTTTCGCTGTGCGTTCGGCTCGCACTGTCCAGCGACAACAAGCGCCCATTCCCCGGTTACTCTCACTGCTTAATGGGTTTCTCGACTCTTCACCGGAGAGCGACCTGTTTGGGAAGCTTATGGGGGTGGTATACTGTGGTTTCAGAGTGTACCTGGAGGGGATAAGAGGGTAATGCTACCCTGTACTGTAAATTTTGTAAATCTTAATTGTTTTTAGTCTAAGTTTGGCCATTGAGCTGTTAATAAATAAATAAATAAATAAATAAAAAATGTTATGTACCTACTAATATTATGCAGATTTTAATGAATTAATGACAACTAAAACGTTTTTTCCTTATCAAAGCTATTTTTTAACATTATATACGGAAAGGAGACAGTAAAATTTCTATAACTATACCTAGATACCGGTGGGATATACGGTTTTCGTGTAAAAACTTACTGAGAACTGCTTATAAACGCTAAAAGAAACCCTTGTTTAGGAAAACTTCTACTTTATACATTAGCTCTAGGAGAATTACTTTAAAAATATTAACCTATAGTAAAACGATACATAGAAATGCTTCTGATAAAAATATTTGAAGTTACCTAATAACAAATACGAAAAATGACTCATAAAAACTATGCTCGGTGATTAAGATACACTTCAGTCTGAGTACATCTGATAAAGATGTCAATACAAAAACCATCACAGTATTATCAAAGGATGTTAAAGACAAATACCTTATTAAATTAGTTTTAAGTTTGAAACTAATAAATAAACTTACCTATACGTATACGTAGGTTAAAAGGTAACAGTGGAATCTCTATAACTCGAACCTCGTTAAGTCGAAATCATCAGTAAGTCAAAAAAAAATTGCCATTCCCTTCCGCTGAACCCTTAAATACGCGGTTTCTCGAATTATTTGGACTTTGTCTCTCGAACAAAATGTTATTTCCCTACGAATTATTGATATTTATACTCTATAACTCGAATTTCAAAACGTAGTTAGTAAAATATAATGACGTTTCACTTGGAATCCTTCGAAATAATAGCAATAAAATCCAAAGTGAAACTTCGGGTTCGGGATTTCTAATCTATTGTTTTTGATTTGCACACGTACAATTGATGAATACATTCATACATTTTTTTAGAGTTCAGTTTAATTAACAAATATGTAATTCGTTGTAATAAGCAAAAATATATATACTACACAACTCAAGTTGAATTATTAATCAAATTTTACCCAAAAATCGAAAAATACACATAGAAATCAAAATTTCAACAGTTAAATCATATGTATCTCGAAGTTCTTGTTAAGTCGAAAACTCATTAAGTCGATGTTTTTTGCATTTCGACATTCGACTTATCGAGATTCCACTGTACAATCATAATTTTGTAGAAGCTAAAAATTAATAAAACTTTATGGTAACAATTTTATAATCTATTGTTACAGATGAAAGTTAAAATAAAATAGTAAAAAATGTTCAGTAGCCTGTAAATAAAAGAATATTAATAATTTGCATCGTATAATCATAGACAATTAAATTTTGTAATTGTCTCTATATTATGTATTAGCCATCTTTCGTAAATTAACTACAAAAAATGTATTTAATAATTCCATTCAGTGTAACAAGGAATAATTGATTGATTGAAAAGTTTTGCTTTTGATTACGTTTTTAAGTGAAAATATAGTTTGTGATTTAAAATTTGTCTAATCGTTGTGATATCTTTCCGTTATCTTATAGTTCCTATCTCTTATCAAAAAAAAATATGCGTCATCTTCCATACAATTTTTGTTTTAACTGTGACTTTTTCTTTATATTTATATATCCCAATAGTAATAATTTCTATATCACAGTTTTAAAGATACTTTTAATCTGAATTTGCTAAATCTTTTTTTAATTTATAATGGTATCAGTTCTTGCTAAGAGTACTTCTAGCAAGAGACACACGTGATAATTTTTTTATTAGCTGTTGAATTAGAATCGCAAAATTTATCACAGCTTCTGTAATCTCGATATATCTAGTATATATAACTACGTATTCTCGAGATATGATGAGAATATATACATATACCGTGATACGTAATTTATGAGCACTGGTTTATCAGTGGTCTGAGAGTTTTGTGGTGTTTTATGGTAAGTATAAGCTTAGCTGTCTCGTATTTAATTCACACTGAAACATTATTTATTTACATTTATACATTATTTACATTTAATTAAATAGTCGTTGCTTGTTCCTTGATGTTGTACGAGATTAGTTTGCTAAAGCTCATTGTTGGTCTTATTATTTGTGGTATTTTCTAGCACATTTATCAAAGTTATTGTAACGCAAATTTAAACAAAAATTTAACGAATAAGCTCATAAAAATGACCTAATCGTTATTAAGGATTGCTTTCATTTTTTATTTATTGCTTAAAAATATTCCGATCGTTTCGGTTTGGGTCTCGTGTTTTACTATACTTATGATTTTATTATATCAATTAAGATAAAGTTTGAATGTTTTGCTTCATTGTTATCAAAGGTAATATTTATATTATTTATAGTGCGTTACAACAAAGTATTTCAATTGTTATAAGTTAGGAGTGTGTTAAAACAGCTGAGAAACGATAATACTCTCCAATAAATTAATCTTAAGATATAATTGAACTATTTGTAAACGGAACTAAGTATGACAAGGATAATATATAAATTAATAAGTTATAGTTACAAGTATTTTGAGTTTTTTTTGGTTAATTAATTATGCACTTCTTTTACTTTACCCGCATTTATTTGTGTTTCTTTTTTTATTGTTCCATATTAGGGTTGCCTTGAAGAAATCACTTGTGAGCGATAAGGCCACCCATCGCCTATAAACCTATGTAACCTGCTTTTTTTTGTTTTTTATATGTATGATTTTGTTTATTATGGTAACGAAGTGTAAATAAATATATAAATTAATTAATTAAAAATGGAAATACAATACAACATTAAAATACATTGACTTTAAAAAATCCAGTGAGTGTATTTGCTGTCAAAGAGTTCTGATTTAATTTATTTATATTTAATTAATTAACTTAATTTATTAACTTGTTAATCTCACATATAAAATGTCGCTTGGTAAATATCGGTAAATAAAATAATTAAAACTAAATTAACAAATATCCATAACATGTTATATAGACAGTATCTAATCGGTAATCACATAACCTTGCCCTAAAACCGCAGTTATCATAACATAGTATAACGGGTTGAAAGTATTTTTAACATTTTATATGTTACTAGTGGACCCCACAGACGTTGTCCTGCATGATATTTAAAGCGATTAGGATATTAAGCAAAGTATGAAAGTACCGACTGCAGTGCCATCTGCCGGGCTGATTTGTGAATCTAAACCATTCCCAGATCCCCTTGAACACACACAAAAAATTTCATCAAAATCGGTCCAGTCGTTTGAGAGGAGTTCAGTCACATACACACGCACAGAAGAAATATATATATTAAGATTTATTTAACTCATTCATTATAACCATTCAGGAAATTTAAAATATTGTCTATAAAACTATCAAACAATTAATGTATCTGACAAAACCGTAGTAAAATTTTGCTTAGAACGTACATGCAAAAATGCGTTGTACCAACCATTTAACGATTTTATAAATTTACCGCTTAACAAATAATAAAATCCGACGAAAATGTTAAATATCAAAACCCATAAGAATTAGGATATGTTTATACAATTTTGTTAAAAGTAAAAACATCGCAAATTGGTGAAAATCCAGTGTTAAAATAAAACCGTGATACATTTTGCACATGCGGAAGTCATACTTAACGTCATCTTACCCTTAGATCTCTGTTACGTACGGCGTTTTTTAGACGCTTAGATTTGATATCTAAACGTCTCAAACTTTTTATTATCCCGGGTAAAGATAACTTCATGAACGATTACTAATTAACAGTTATCTAAGTTATAGACACATGTTACAATACATTTTTATTATATTTCAGAACGATACATTGGCGATAAGTGTTATCAGTCAAAAGATAATCAAGTGATCAAACTTTTTAGTTCAAAACTTGATTTGGATTGACGGAATATGGGCTGTTTTAATACTGTTTGGAGTAAAGGTAGGTACTACAATTTTTTTAATGACTACTTAAAATCAATCAAACTAAAAATACATTTCTTATTTTACACAGAATCGTTATGATGATGGTTGTTTGTCGGAGTATTCTGTTAAGTTTAAGTTAAGGTCAAAAGTCAGTCATAAAAATTCATACGGGTTAGACGGAAATTAACTATTGAAATACATAGTAATAATTTTATTGAAATTGATAAGACGCCGATGCACATGTCGTGAAAAGGTCAAATGTTCTTACAATTTATGTTTCCAGCAAAATCAAAAGTCCAGTCATGGCACAAGACAGAGTTTATCCCAAGCAAGGTTCGGGACCCTATATTTGGGAACATAATAACTATGTCCATAGCGGAAACTGCAGCTTATAGAATCATCATGCAAGATGTGAGAGTGGGTCTATTACCTTCATATGCGCCATGTAAGTATTAATGTGAGATACATATTATGGTATTGCCTCCATAGAGGATAAGGTGGATTTTATTCCTAGTAAGAGTTCTTAGGCCTCTAGATATCAGGTACTTACTTATTCGAAATTCACATGGAGACCCTGAACTGGCTAAATCTATCAAGGTATGGACTGTTGTAAAATATAAATTATTTTCGTAAAATATGGGTTCTGTTTTTGAAAATATTTAAATAATTGAAACGACTATGAAAAGCAACGGGTAAACTAACATATACCTACTTGTGTTGGAGCTTATAGCAATCATTAAATTAAGGTTGGTCTTAATAAAATCTGACATATGAAATTCTTACCTATTCATTTATTTATGAGTCTCATGTTTGAGAAGACTTATTGCACTAAAACTAATACGAATAATGTATTAATTTAATAAAAAACTATAATTGTTTTGTAAATGTCATTAAATTCCCTAGTTGTGAAATCGATTGCCCTATTTATGACTAATATCCAAAATACATAACTTAGGTACGTAATGAACACGTTGTTATTGCCTATTTACTTATTGAAACAACAGCTTCTTAGGTCTTCTTCGTTGACGCTTGTGACTTAAAAAAACATGCAAATTTAAAAAAAATATTATTCCACTTAAGTTAATTAACTTCTTTCTTTTGTGGCCTATTGGCATAGATTATTCGTTCAATGTGCAATTTTAACAATTGCTTTACATCCCATGCAAGACTGACAGCATGTATCAGGCACAGAAGGTGTACCTATTGCCTTTGAAGAAAACAATAATCAAGAAACAGATACCAAAATCTAAGGCTAAGAGCGCTACTGGTTTAACGTGTTAATTAGTATTTGAAATTTAATTTAATTTCGTTTAGAACCTATCACAGTTAATCTTTGGTTAAAGGCTAATCGTATGAAGACGGGATGGGTCGTAGTTTGCTATTAAATATGTTTTATATTTCTTTTATAATATGTTTTTTTCTAAACCCGAAGTAAAGAAGTGCCTACACATCAATTAATATCAGATTAACCTTTAGATTTGCTGATATCAATCGTCGCAATGTTCGAGGCAATACTTGGCCCTTTAGTTGCGTGGTGTGGATACAAGACACGGAAGAGAATGTTGCTTGGCTGGTCATTTGGTTTCATCTTGGCTTCTTTTTGCTGGTTTACAATCCCGTCACCCGATAAACTTGAGGAGTCAGGTAATAAATGCAATTAATATAACACAATATTACTTCTATTTAAAATTTAATTTCAATAATTGGGCCGTGGGGTTCAAGTGCACAGGCGCTTATTAAAGATTTAATTTGCGCCTGGTAGATAGTACCGGTGACCCCAGACCTGGTGCATTCCTCGCTCAACGAATAAGAATCGCAATACAGCGAGGAAATGCTGCCAGCGTAAAAGGTACACTGCCACGGGATCAAACTTTTTAAATTTGTTAATTTTCTATTTATCAATTTTTAATTATTATTATGTAGGTTAAGAAAATAGTTCAAAATAAAGTGCGTACTTATAAACTGAAGACCTGCCTCGGTACTAAGTAACTTACGATAGCGATTCCAAAGTCAAGTGATGCCACAGGGACCAAACTTTAAAAAAATTCTTTTAATTTTCTGTTTATTAATTTTTAAATTATTATTATTACTATGTAGGTTAAGAAAATTTTAAATACAATAATTTGTGTGTTGGAATCACAACTTTAACGTGAGTATCAAATATATAATTTTGACAGCAAAAATATTTTAGGAACAGTTTTGTTGTTACAACTCAGCCCCAAACGGGATTGTAACACATCGCGTATCAGGACAGAACAATAATATGAAACTAGCCTAGCACTGTAGATGTATATGTATTGAGCTTACACTTTATCAGATAATAGTTCGATATCGATCAATGTTTACTGCCCTAGTCGAATTCAGCTCAACTCACTTCTCGATACTCAATCACACGTTTTACAGGCGCCCTCTCAACTCAATCTTGAGCAGTCATTTTATGATTTGGCATTCTGATTATCTAGCAATGAACTATAACTCCCACCTTTTCAGAATGCCAAATCATAAAATGAAACTAGCTTAGCACTGGTATACCTATAAGAGCGACCGCACGCCTGCACTATCTGATAAGCGATACTCGCAATGTTTACTGTACAGTATTAAGATAAAATTCTAGAGATTTTTCTTTCCAATTTACTATCTTACGCTATTATATCAATTTATTTTACAGAATTTTGCGAATATCCAACTGTCAACACATATATTCTCTTCGTCGGTCTACCAGCTCGGACAGCAGTGCGGATGGTCGTGACAGTATTTGTAGCAATATGCTTCTGTCTGGCGAGGGTGGCCACATGGAGCCATTACATAGCTTACGCAGATGACCAAGATCCTAACAAAACTACTGTTGCCTTTGGTATGAAATTATTATGTTAATAACAGTAAACTGGTACAAAGTTTCAGCAATGGTTACATTAATATGTATTGCTGATGAGACCTAAACGTAAAAGAACTTCTAAATTACAGCTTCTAAACCACGACAGTCCAAATATTAACATTATTTACGCGTCTATGACACCGGAAGATAACAAAATCCGCAAGTTATAAACTTTCAAATTTTACGCCCACGTGTAAGCAATTTTATTAATTTGCGACGTCTCGTGGTTAATTTATAAACTAACGGATATCCGTTCGTAAGATTCTAAACGGTTAGGTTAAGTTAGTGACTTATTCAACCAATCAGAGCGCACATTTTTTTGAGCGTTTGTTTATCGCTTACTTATTATTTTACGAGTGAGTTGGGTATGTTTATCAATTTGCGAAAATGTGGGCGTTTATCACTTTATCTCTAGTTTAGAATCCTACGAATTTTCTAGGAAATTTATAAACTTGAGGGTTTTGTTATATTCCGGTGACATATACAATCATTAATTTTTTTTAAACAGAAATATTTATATGTAATTAATTTCTTTGCACAGACTATTAACAGTACAACACAAAAAACAAGGTAAAAGAGTACAATACAACAACAATGAATAATAAATGAATAAATGAATTCTAAATACTTTATCTAGAATAATGGAAAAAAATGTTATTCTGTTTCCACCTATTGTTTGTTTATTTTCCAGGACTCCTTGTTATCGCTCGAGTAATACCCTTTATTTATGGTTATAAGATGCTGAGTATGATTGTAGAGGTGACCGTCCTTCTAAAGATCCTCATTATAACACTAACAACACTCCTAAACATAGCAAAAATTTATTTCGTTGTACCTACATCTGAGCAACAAATCGAAGCGAAAGCACCTCCGATGGAAGACAGAGGTAGTATACACAGTTTACAAAATAATTGTTCGTTCTGTAACACACGTAACATGCTTTCAATGCATAAATTTATTTCATGTTAACAGGTTTCTTCAGGAGTTTGTTTCGAGTGCTGTGTAATGTTCTCGCTATGTCCCAAATGCTGTCCGTGGCGCTACTCGCTGCTGCCTTCTGGGGATTTGGGTTTAACGAAGAAGAGATAGTCAAGGTTTGTAAATCGTTTTAATAAGAGCATGAAAGGTACAGCAGTATTTTTTGTGTGTAAAAAATCTGATTTTGTGATGATCAATCTGCTCATTTTCTTTTATCCGTTTGTCATATTGTTGGCCAATTTAGAGGTTAGGGCTTAAGAGATTTTGTTGCAATATCGTCATCTCTAAACCACAATTTTTTTTTTTGGTCAAATATTTCTCATTCATATTTACAACTCAACTCATTCAGTTTCCGGTTCGCACGGCTGGATATTAATTTTATTAAATATGTACATATTTCTATATCGGGACTATTTATAAGCGTTATAAAGTTTTACAACTTTTCTCTAGAATTCAATCATGTTAAGGCAGCATTTGTAAGAAACGTTTTCTTTCGTTTTTTCTCCGAATTACTTTGTAAATCTGACTACCATGAAAAAGTTTTTTCATAATTCGGCTTAATATGTAGCCTAGAAAACTCACAAATTATGTGGCTTAAAATATTAGTAAAGATTACGAAGCAATAAGTATACACGACTATGAGCTTTAAAGACCTATTGGTTTTTTTAGTGTATAATATTAGTTTGTTCATAATATTATTATCAAAATAATTAAAATTTTAAGTATTTTTTAATAAGAAAACTGCTGAGATTATTTTTCTTATTTATCTGCCATGGTATTCCGCTGTAACGGAAATATTTGTTTTGCCCAAAATTGTATTATATGTAGCGTTCATAGGATACTAAAAACTTTCTCGAAATAAGTCAATAAATCACGGATTTACAAGAAAATAAAGACACTTACCTGAACTGTAAATACTGAAGCAAGTTTTATTAGCGTTTTCATGAAATTAATCGAATCTTAAAAAACTAACTTATCTGACTGTCGTGAGCAGAATAATTGAAATAGTTTTAACAATTTCAGACAAACTTCGACATTAACGCCTCGAATGCAGGCATAATCGATCATCATGTGGAATTCTTTCGTTATCTATGTGCGATTCTTGGTGTAGTGGTGAGTACAGTTTTCTTAGATATCGTAACCCTACCTATTGGCACGTTTCATCGGATTGACGGACGAGAGACGAAGCAGGGGGGAGGGTGATCACTATTTCTTAATGATATCAGAGGAGATATCCAGAATCTCTCTGGTTTCTAAGATTAATTCGACGGTGGCGTAATAAAACCAACAAAAGAACAAGTTTGTGTCTGTCCATTGCGAAGGCTGAGACGCAGATGCGACGGCGTGTATACCCTCTTGCGTCGCGACGTCATGCGTTGACGCAACGCAGATGTGGCATACAACGCGTCGATCCGATGCGACGACGCGACGCAACGCAGTAGTGGGGCCTCGCCCTTACACTATGGTAGGCACTTTTTGTCAATGCCGAAAAATCTCCAAAACTGCATTCAAAAAGTTGTATATTTTTTTCAGTACATTGGCGTCAAGTATTCATCACCAATACGGACTAACTATGAAATACCCAGGGCCCTCAAGCACATCTCTAAAATGACACTTATCGCTGCAATTATGTATATAGTTATTGTTATGGTGCCGCCATGTAAGAAGGGTCACGTAGCTGGCTTAGAAAACAGCAATGTATACACGCATCCTCAATGCAGTTTGTCGTGTGGGTAAGTAAGAACCTGAAAAACCACCTTTTGCATTATATTTTCCTGAAATAAACTACTTATGACCGAGTTTTGAAACAATTTGTATGACTCAAAACTTTGCGATTAAAAAGGCGGAAAGTTTCTTGCCAGTTCTTTTTACCCGCTTTACGCCCTTGACTTGCGAACTGGTAGTAAATGTAAATTTACAATTATTTAACTTCTTTTTTTGACGTTCATAAGTGTACTTGTTTACCTATATGAATAAAGATATTTTGAGTTTGAGTATATTCAAACTGGCATATGAGATTTTTCTTTAGTTTTGGCCAAATGTTCATTTTATTTTGCTTTATGAGCAAATGTGTACAGAATAGGTAGGTATATATGTATGTCAAAAACCTCTTGCGAGACACGTGGCTTTATTATTCTTATCAGGCTTACAGGTTACCATTATACTGGGTAAGATTCAGCAACAAGACTGATTAGCGCTATAAAGTCTGATTTCCGTACGCCAAAAGTGTACATTTTGAAATACTAGTCTTCTTTTTAAATCTTAACCTTTATATGGCGAAAATGTTGTATCCACGGTGATGGTACTAAATAAATTCACGATATGATTAGGTAAAATCCTTTGTCACAAAAAAAATCATAAATACAAACATAGAGCCTGTGAATCTTTATTGTTATTACTTTTCTTGAGGGCCATTTTTTTCAATAAATTCTTATAGATTTTACTTTATTGCAGTTGCGTGCCAAAATGGAATGAGTACAATCCTGTGTGTGTAGTGGACACGATGACGACCTACCTTTCACCATGTGAGGCTGGCTGCACAGGTTCCTTTGCAATTGACAATTTAATGTAAGTGTTTTATATTAAAAGGATTACGCACAGTATATTATAATATTATAAATAGACATTTGAGTGTGGTAAAGTCAAGAACATGAATTTAAAGCGAGCTAAAAGTAGCCAGAGTCATTCACTAAAAGTCATGGTTAAGTAGGTATATAGTATAACTGGAATTTTAGATAAGACGCTCAAACGGTATACGCTTTCTTCAGTCGTTAGCTAATCCGGTAAGGACTGGAGTCGAAAAAACAAACTTTAGTAACAGAATATCTCTCTATCATTAGAGAAAGAATTTAATAGTAAACGCATTCATTAATAGTATCCGAACTTAATAGGTCGCATTTGACATCTGTCAGTTTTAGCTTCATAAGACGTCCACTGACGCAACATTGTAACGACGTCAGTTTACTCTTTAAAACAGAAATTGTTTATTATTAAAAACAGTTAATTCTATCTAAGTAAACGCACCTATTCAGTATACGTATACAGTAAAGGTAAATAGTAAAATAACCTATTGTCATTATTACGATAAATATGTAATCGGTATTAAAAAATTTAAGCAATAGTGCAGTTCTAACTTCGATAACATAAATTATATACCTATTGTTTACGTCGTTACAAGTTAACGATTATTGAATTTTGATGTGGTGTCAAAGCTAACTTATTAAATTGGCCCTACTATAATCTTCTCCTACACTTTTATTACCCGCTCTATAAGTGAAAGTAACCAATGTCTTTTTTTTCAGGGTATACTCCAACTGCAGTTGCGCAGGTCCTTCAGGGCGAGTGGCACCGGGAGCTTGCAGTTATTTCAACTGTCAGACTGGATATAATTTGCATAAGACAGCTTATGCAGCAATCGTGATTTTGTCAGGTTAGTTTGTTGGTCGCACATAATAACCAAGTCATAAAATTATGGCGATTTACAAATTAGATATAAATCTGAATAATTAGATGTTACTGACGCTACTGGTACAAAGACAAACAATCAAAAATTAGAAAATGTTTTGTATCTGTGGGAAATGTTTGAGTTTTTCGTGTTTTTTCATACAGTACTTCCCTCTGGAATCATCCTTGTGAACTGTTCTATAAATGGACAATTTTCGAACATATATCTGTATGCTAAAGTAAAAGAAACTTCCTTTTTTTTAATATCATAGTTAACTTAACAAAAGGAGTAGTACTAGTAATAAGAAACGAAAACCCTAAAGCCCTTCGTGTGTAGTTGTATTGCTTTATATTAGTATAGTAGTAATAGGTACATACTAATATTATAAAAAGGTGATGTTTGTGAGGTTGTAGGTGGTAATCTTTAGATCTACTGAACCGATTTTGAAAATGCTTAAAATAGAAAGCCACTAATTATACGTTATTTTTAAGTGTAATAATCTATATATTAAGCCGAACAATGATAATACATTTTTGTGGCAGTCGGATTTAAATCGAAGAAAAAACGGCCGACGAAGAAGTTTTTCTATGCCTTAACGATGTGAGATTTATAGTTGAGTTTTAGAAAAAGTTGTAGAGCTTGTAGACCCACAAAAAAATCAGCAACACTATATTACCTACGCCGCGTCTATCTGTAAATTACTGCCCTGCGATTCTGTAACTCACTTTTCGAACTCACACAGCGGTTTTCGCATCGGCGGTCGCTCTCAATCATCGTGAAGCAGTCATTTTATAGATTTGGCATTCTGAAAAGGTGGGAGCTTGTAGTTTATTGTTTATTACTATTATAATTTAGCAGTGTGAGTTCGAAAAGTGAGTTACAGAATCGCAGGGCAGCACGGAATTTACTGCGGTTTTCATGAGATCTAGAATCAGTAAGATTTTGGTACATATTCTTTCAAGGTTTATGGGTTACTGTTGCCCATGCGCAGCCGAGTTTTTTTATAATATACTAATAAGACTATCGGTTTCAGTGCTGGCGTTCCAGTCACAAGGTATGGTGATCCTCAAATCTGTGGACCCTCGTGATAAGTCCATCGCCATGGGAATGATGTGGTCTGTCATTGCAGCTGTTTCTTACGTCTGTGCTAACAATATCTTCTTGTCTATTGCATGTGAGTATAACTTTTTTAGAACGTAATCCTTCGGGATTTTAATAGCAATACTCGTAAGTAGTGCTATAACAATTGCATTTATAAGAATTTTTTGATTGTTGTTTGAAAATATTCATATTTTTAATCCAATATAAATATCTCAAAATTGCTGTTATTAGGCTACATTATCCGATCGTTACCGTTATAAGGTTACTGCTATGGTTACATTAATACAAACCACAGCGGTTTTCTAATGTAACATATTATGATTGTATTATATTATAGTAAAATAAAAGTACAAACACCATATTATATTTATTATTGCATATTAATAGAATAAGAGCTATATGATATTTTTGTTCCAGGGAAAACATGCAGTTGGTACACAGGAGACAAATGCCAACTTTACGAACAGAGATTCTCTTATATAATCGGATTTACCTGCGCAGGACTCGTGTTTATAGCATTAGTTATAAACTTCGTAGCCATAGGATACCTGAGATTAAAAAACAGAAGAGCAGAAAATAGAAACGGAGATAACGAAGAGAGAACTGTTATAGAATAGAATTATTCGTAATACTTACCTCAAGTAATTTCGTTGATTCCGTGTTAAACATAATTATTAAAAAAAGAACAAAAGTATTTTGTAATTAAAAACTTATTCGTTAAGTATAAAGTATATTTCTAACTGGGTAAGAATTAACCCTATTTGCCGCGGCAGATAAATATTTAAGAAACAAAAATTAAATTATATTGTTTTATTGATACTGATGTACGACCAGTTTTGATGTACGGCTGTGAGGCTAAGACGCTAACCATATAAGAGGAGCAGAAGCCACTGGAGGCGAAACTGGTGGTCAAGATATTGTGTAAAATTCTGGGGACAACAAGGAGAGAGGACAGGTCATATGTAGTCCGAAAGAATGCCAAAATAGAAGAGTTAGTAGCCAAACTCAACATTATAAGTGAATAATCCATGGGTCCCGGGTTCGATCCCCGCCGGGGATCATGAATGGTGGGAGGTCTTGGGTGTTAAATATGTATTTATATGTCTATCTACTATAATATGTATGTTTATCCGTTCTTGTACCCAAACACAAGCTTCCCAGCAGCATGGGACTAGGTCAATTGGTGTGAATTGTCAAAAAAAAAAAAAAATATAAGGCTACGTTGGCTGAGGCACCTTGAGCACATGGGCCTCGGACGGTGAAGGAAGCTTATCTGAACCGGCCTAGGTACTGCTGGATTGATCAAGTGGAGGAGGACCTGCTACTGCCGTAAGTCAGCAATTGGCGGGAGGTGGGACAGGAAGCTTTTCACTTCAAAGGCCATGTCAGTTTTTGGCCTCCTTTGGCGCAGAGCCAGTAGAATAAGCGTGAGTGATTTATTTATAATTTAAATAAAATTGCCTACTTAGAATTAATATAAAAAGTATTAATAATTTAAGTTATATTATATAAACAAATTTAAATAATAAATGGGTCGTTAATTTAATTTATACTAATATACTACTTATATTATATCTAAAAAAAAGGGTGCGTGTACTTATGTACGCGCGGAAGAAGTTATACTTCTTTGGCATTATCAAAAGTAGTGTTTGATTGCATGCAAATAATTAATTACAATTAAATAATCAAAGACTGGAAAAGGAGTCATTATAGTAAATAAAGTTCAGTTTACATTTGAAAAATTAAATAAATAAATATTTATTATTATGCTCTTACATTAAGTGTAACATAAATTCTGTTATTATTCGAATTTTGTTTTTAAATTATGTCCAATGCCTTATCATCTTCCGTGGGCAACTTCATACTGATAATTTTGTGTCACGGTGCGCGCGCATCGTAACATTTCACTCTCATCAATTTTTCATAACGCGCCTAAAGAAGTATAACTTCAAAAAATTTCAGCTCATAGTTACTCTCACGATTTATAATATAAAGCTTGTATAAGAATTCTTATCTGTTATTTGTCGATTCCATAAGTAAATGGTTTGACAGGAGCTTGAGACAAAATCAGCTTACGACAGTCGTGACGTACTAACACCAAACGAATTTGTACGTGACAAAGCGTGAGGCGATGTCATTCCCTTTTGTCTCCCTAGAAACTCGATCAAAGTTTGTCTTTCTACCTAAGGTTTATTTTTAATAATTATTTTATTAATATTTGACACTGACATTAAATTTTAATTTCTTGAACAAATTTTTTAAGGGTGACTAAAAATAAAATTTACGTGTTATTACGTATAACAGCTGAATTTAAATTGTACTAGAAAATTATATGCTTATGTTATTAATAAGTGTTTATAATTAATGAGATAAATGACATGTACCTACTCTATTTTATAAATAATCGCTAAACTTTTTCTGAGTATAAAGTTTTTGAAGATTGATTGTTGTTAAAATTCTTTAGAACTTAATTTGTTAACAATACATATAGTTTTATAAATAAGTTCATTATTTTTTTAATAATTAAAGCTTTACAGCAAGTCTTTCATGCTTAGTAAATGTTTGTGACAATTAAATGTATTACCAAAGACAATAACAATAAAGAAATCTTTAGCTAACATTTTTTAGTTTAAATTTTTTCAAGATTTATATCGAAGTAATGATTAATTTACGAGACAAATACCTTGTAAATGGTTGAATCATATTATATAGCAACACAATAGTCAAAAATAGTTTAATTTTAACAAATGTATAATTTATTTTACTTTAAATGTAAGATAATTAAACTACAAGTTATATTAATGGTTATATACAAAAATATGATCTAAAACATATTTTATTCTTCCTTAGTCTACTTAAATGTTCAAATCATATTTAAACAATAGATTCCAAGTAGTTAAAATTAATGATTGTCAAAGTAAACTCTTACCTATCTCTTGTGGAGTACCTCAGGGATCAATATTGGGCCCATTATTGTTTTTAATTTATTTAAATGACATACAACACCTTAACTTACATGGACAGATAACCTTGTATGCGGATGATACCTGTCTCCTATACACTGGTTCATCTGTGCATGATATAATTTCTCGAGTGCAAAAAGACCTTGACTATCTATACTTGTGGTTTCAGTCGAAATTGCTAACTATCAACACTGCTAAAACATCGTACTTAATTTTTAAACCTAAAAATGTTAAAATTTCTCCACATTCGCCTATAACATTAAATAATGTACCACTAATTGAAAAGAAAAGCGAAAAATATCTTGGATTATAAATTGACAATAACTTAACATGGACAACGCACATAAATCATTTAATAACTAGAATATCTTCTCTAAGAGGTTCCCTTACACACATAGTTTGAAGCTTTCCTCGTGAAGTTCGTATACATATTTATAATTCTTTGGCAAAATCACAACTTCTTTACCTTATTGAAATTTGGGGAGCCGCGACTAAAACTAACATTTCTCGCCTTCAAATTGCTCAAAATAAAGTAATTAAATTGCTTTTCAGTACCCATACTTAACTTCTAGACAAAAATCTACAGTGAAACAAAACTCATGAATATAAAACAATTATTTCAATACAATACCAGCATATTAATCTACAAAATTCTAAATAACTATATACACACTAACATTACTTTCACTAAAATAAATCAAATTCATAAGCGCAGTTCACGACGCCCACACAATCTTAGACTTAGACTTCTACAAAATATAAAAAGTGCAGACAGTCTGGCAATATTTAAATTTAGACTAAAAGACCATCTCTTGAGTGATCCCAGTTACCTGCGTAAATGAAAGTCCACCCAAGTTCTACTTCGCTAATTGATCCTTGAAGCTCTTCAATGACCCACGACGTGATAAATTGTATATTTAGTATATAAGTTCTCATGTAAGTGACTCTTGTCTGTTATGAGAATAAATGTCTTTAAACCTAATGTCTGTCACCTCTTAAAATTGTAAGAGACTTATTTGATTTTGACAAACGTTCGTTGAATTATCCTTAGATCAAACGTGTATTAGTAACCAATGCGTGATTGACTTACGATACGGGTCGCCATAGTAACATTTAACGCTAAGCGTGACATTAAGAAACCAAGCTTAGCGAGAAAAGTCAGGTATATTCTTATAGGTATTTAAAGTCACAATCTCGTATCGAGCGCAGTCAAATACGTCAAACGTCATTGGAATGGGAGTTTGGTGGGATGGACTATTATGGAATATGGCATCAACATTTTTACTATTAGTAAAAAGAAAAATTGACAGCCGATGATTCGCCAATTCGTTGGATAGGCCTTCGAAACTGTGGCCGTGTATGGCAACATAGGGCAACATCATTGATTATATTATATAGGTATGGATAAAGGAAAAAAATAATACAAAAAAAAAGTAGGTATGGTTTAAATAGGTACTTAATTAAGCCTAACCGGACGTTGAATAATATGCATTAGCGTTGTCTCAAAGGGTGAGGCCCATTTAGATGGAGAAATCGTACGCGACTATCGCCAGCAATAATCGCCATAGCGTTATCGTATCAAAATGTTTACATACAGGCAAGAACTAAATTCTCGCCTACGATTATGTCATACGAGAATCGCCAGGGATTTATGGCTAGGCGATAATTTCCTGCGTCTATTTACACATCGGCATTTTAGTAAGAAGATTTTTACTTACGAAAAACTCGACTAGTATAAACACGATCTCGTATGACATTTTTTTATGTTCATGCGAGTATCGTACAAATCGGTTTGAACCGTTTTGAGTGCAAGTAGTGTTGCCCAAAATCGGTCTTGGTATTTCAATCTTGGTCTTGTTGTTGCATTTTCGCAAGACCAAGACTGAAAACTGCAAGACTTGAGCAAGACAAGACTTAAGCCTGCAAGACTCAAGAGTCTTGCAGTTAAGACAAACTGAGATTTAGGCGTTATTAAGTAGGTATTTGGTTTCAATCCCGTTTTTAGAGACGTTCCCCAGTAGGTAGATAAGTACTTATTATATTTCAACTATTTAATAAGTAGGTAGCGTGTTAATACTCACAAATCTGTTCCCATCATCCCATGTGATAAAATGTACCTAGAATAACTTTCTAGCAAAGTTCATACCTTGTAGGTATCTACCTATAATATTATGCTTGTTTATGTCTAATGTGCAGATCTAACGTTAGTACTCGTAGGTTGGTATGTGCTTAAAATTATAGCCAACAAAATTATATAAACATTATGTTGGTACCTACTTATGTTTCAAAATTTATATTATTCTTCTATTCAGCAAAATTTAAAACTAACAGCGAGTCGAGTAGGCTTAGTAACAGTTTCTACGGCAGCCAATGTTATGGTACAGACGCCAGAACATCAAGCTACTACAATCTGTCAAATTTCTTTAAGAGATTTACAACTTTATCGCGAAAAGATTTAAGGTTCAAGGTATCAACCTTGGGAAAATGTGACGTTCTGCGAATAAACTGTTGGTCGGTCGGTGTATACCTACTTATTTGATAATTTACCGACAAAGACGCCGCGGTTTGCAACAAGTGTATCACAGCATTTGACACTGTTTGAGCGCCGCATTCGCCGACAAAGTGTACGGACAGAGGCACACAAAATTGTTACC